TACAAACAATAAATTTTTATCTTCAGTAATTATTTCTATTTTAAATTCAATTTTAAATTCTCGTTTTAAAAATTCTTTTTTATGTTTTCACAATTATAATCAAAAATAGCTCAAAATAGTCCTTGATCAAACGTTAAATGATGTTAGATAATTGACAAATGGCAATCAGCATATGATTAATCGACGATTAATGGTCTGATCCGTGATTTTGCAAAACAAACCTATTAAACGCATTTTTTCTTTCGAGTATTGGCTATTTTCCAAAGATCGTTGCTTGTCCCTGACAGCCGGTGAGCCCTTAAAGCGTCGTTTGTTTCGCAAATGTTCGCGACCTGGCCAAGTAAAACGATACGGAAATCGCGTAATCGTGGTGAATCATCGTAATAATAAATCTTTATGGCGAATCCGTTTCTATTAATGTTGGAATATTCACTTAATACTATGCATTTCGTGGGATGTTGATGTGATTCTCGCATGCTTTTTCATTGAAAATTGATACGATTTCAGGATAAGATTTTTTTATTTTTAAACATTATATAGGTTATATGCATGTTAACTTCAAAATATTTTTTCGAATTTTGAAATTGTTTATTTTATTAATCAATACAATTTGGATATATTATATTTTTAGTATTTTAGAAATAGATAATTCTTCTAAATATGCTATTATATATTTGTATATTTGTGATTATTCCACTTCATTAATTATCTGTAAGATATTCGATAGAATTTGTCTTTCATCTCCACACAAGAATCTTTCTATTATCATAATACCAAATGTTAAATGTAACCTCTCAATCTATCAATTTTGATCTTTCAGTTATCGTGTGCAAACAAGGTTTTAGCATAAACGTATGTCGGAAATTCTTGTCGGAAATCTTTAGCCTACTAAAAAAAATGAGAACCGATATTTGTTGATTTCCATGTTTCAATCAATATTCAAATTATCATGTTATTTAAATGAGATAATTCATTCATTTTTAAAATAATATAAGTCCACTAAAATTTTTCTAAAATTTAACATTCTAAATGTAAAATATTCTAAATGTATATAAAATTAAAAATGTATTCTTTAATTACTTATATAGCAGAATAATATAAATCATAAATATAATATCAATTATTTGTCAGAAAACTAAAATAGTTATTAAGATAATCATTTGAATGAATAGTGGTAGTCATATGTAGTTATTATATTATAGCATAAAAAAAATAATTAAAAAAAAGCATTCTGACAAATAATATAGATTAATTGGTAGACGAATAATGAAAAATGAGAAAGTTAAATAAACAAGTAATATAATTTAGCTAATATAGTTAGAATTTGAATTAGACAGTAATGATCAATCAAAAAATATAAGTTATTTGTCAGAGAAATGAAGAGTAGTATAAATAGATCAATTATTTGTCTGATGTTAAATATATTATAATCAAACTAGTTTGTTACTTATCTGATAAATGATATAGGCCAATCAACTGAGATTAAGATACTTTTAATATCTTATCTTGAAAACAAGATTAAACTTCGAACCATACGCTTCCAGTGCACAATTTCTCCATCAATTTAGCATCGTAATTTGTAAGACTAAGTACCTTTTAAAGGGATCCGTATTATGCCATCGTTATTTGAAACTTGTTTTCGAGCGAAGAAATATCGTCGCTTTTGACAAAACAAATAGTTTCTAAGAAATTAATGTAAGGAATATCTTTTTTTGGCAAAGTCTCTTTAATTATTCTAGATTATTGGAATTTTCGCCATTTCACTCCTTCCTTCACTTATTGATTGTTATTCTTAACAATTTCCAAGTTAGATCTTTGTTTTCAAATGATATTTTTTTTGAAATAATTAGAAGCGATTGTGGAATTGAATTATGATTTCTCTTAAATGTATTGTAAAATGTATAATATAAAAATAATATAAAAGAATATTATTTTTTTTTATTGTTATATTTAATTATTTTGTAGTTTTTATTTTTATTTTTAATTAATTTCGAAATTATGAATTCGAAATATAAATCGAAAAAATTCGGGAAAGTTCTCGAAAGTTTCGGTTACAATCGGCTATGTTCGGTTACAATCGGCTATGTTCGGTTATAATCGGCTATATTCGGCTACAATCGACTATGTTCGGCTACAATCGACTATGTTCGGCTGCAATCGGCTATGTTCGACTATAGCTTGCAATAATTTTAATTTTTATGTGATCTTGAAGTCGCGATTTAGACCGTTATAATTTGAAACACTTGATCCTAACATCTTTATTAGAATTATTTTTTAAAATTTTATTTAAGAGATAATAATTTAAAAATTAAGAATATTAGAACTATTAGAAGTTGATCGAATATTATTTTAAATTATGATAATATAATGAAAAATAAAATTCGAAAAAATTCCTTTTATCCATAAATCGTTCCATTTACAATCACGAAAAGTTGTACGAAGAAAATTACGAGTGCTATGAGTTAGAACAAGTTGACGACTTCTAATTTCTGGAAGAAAATGGTCAGAGGAAATGGAAGCAAATTGAAGGAAACGAAACAAAAGTAAGTTTTGTCTCGAGTTTGGCAATTTTCCGTCATAAGGCAATAATTACCTATTTTATTTCTGAGATTGAGAGGGGAGATTCGTGCATTTTGCTGAATCAGTAGTGCTCAGAAAATAAATGAGAAGGGAGGGAAAAAAAGAGTATTGAGAGAATGCGCTGTAAGATAAATGATATCTGCTCACTACTGTGCATTTACAAGAAAAGAGATTAAGAAGATTGTTAGACCTGCTCGTGGCTTTGCTCGTTTATTTTTCCAAACATAATTCGATAATTGATGCGAGGTGATTTTTTACTTGAATTCGTTATTAATGAAGCGTTTTTTTTTTTTGCATTATTGTTTAATACATCGTTATTCATTATTAAATTTATATTTAAATCAAATTATTTTAATTTGAATAAGATTAAACAAATTTTTTGTGTAATTCTAGTTCTATTTTGAAAACTTTAAAATTCTTAGAAATATTTCTTTTTTCTTATTTTTAACACAAATAGTAATTAAATTTAAATTTACAACATTTAATTAAAATTATAAACGCTTTTAAAATTCTATATTATTTTCACTTGATTTTAACTCAGAAGTGCTCTTCATTTGTAAACAGACTCTTGAGTTAAAAACATGGTGAATGAGAATCATATTCACGAGTTTTACCAAACACTTTACTGAATTGTTATTCAATTTTCAACAACATAAAATCGATACAAATTCTTTTATAATATATATATATGTGTGTGTGTGTGTGTGTGTGGACAATTGGAGAATATAATTTGAGTATTAGTATTGAAAAAGAAACATTGTGGAGGAGAGATTGTGCGTGAAGTGAACAAAGGTATAGGAAACTATCCAATGAAATTCGATTCAGAAATTAGTTCCTTTAACACGCCATAGTTTCAAGATTCGGAATCCTACGCTTTGAACCTTCAATTGCATTCTGACTCCTCGTTAATCCATATCGAGATCAACTTTGACAAATGGGATCAGTCAATTGCTTTTGGAACGAGGCTATCTGTGATGTAATTTGCCGCATTCCTTGATTTCAGATATACATAATCATTCTATAATTAGATGTTTTGTCTAACTTTTTTTTTTTTTGTCTAAAAATATGAAACAGTGAAGAATTATATATTATCATAGATACAAACGATGATTGTTTCTCTAAGTAAATATTATTACAAATCTATTTTGCTTGTTCTATTTTAATGCGTGTTCTTTTTTTTTCTTTCTGTGATTTTCGATAACAAAAAGCTATTGTGATAGGTGGGGAATACGTAAAAATTTTCACATGTACAGAGAAATTCGATCATTTTGATCGCAGGAAAATTGGGATCCAAGCTATTTAAGTAGAAGAATTGAAATTTAATTTCGATTTAACTCGATCAGAGCTTCGATTTTTCTTTCTCGATTTTACTGAACATACTGAACAGTTTAAAGTCAAAATAAACATATCGATATCGATTTGATGCAATTCTTTTCCAATAGTAGGGATGATTCCTTGTAATCTCAATCAAGATCAAGTTTTTCTTTTTATTATATTCGACAAATTGGATTGATGTAAATATTTAAAATATTTTACTTTTTCTGATTAATCGATTATATACTTCGAAATTAGAAAATTCAAGCATTAGATTCTTGCCATTAAAATCGAGGACACGCGATCTATCTGCAGAAGTTGGGAATGGTTATGAGTCACCAACAGAATTAACCAATTAGCAACAAGTTAGACAAACTTCTCTGTACAAAGACAGCGCAAAAAAACCAGTTATTTCACATAGTCACGAACAATTCGTCCTGCAAAAACACGTCTCATTAATATTCGCCTCAAGACCACATCATTAAAGCCACATCTAATTACTATTTCAACCTAACCTCAATTATTCTAATTGAACTTAAAATATATATATATATTAAATATATATAATATATATATTCAATACGAAATTTCCGTTTTTCTTTAATTCGACGAATTTCGAGCAATTTGTTTCCCTTTGTTGAAAGTAACGGACGATGTCCCTCTAAACTTTTTTTTTTTGCTTCTCTCTCTCTCTCTCTCTCTCTCTCTCTCTCTCTCTCTCTCTCTCTCTCTCTCTCTTCATATTTATCCGTTTCCAACGGAAGTTGAATGGAGACCACATCCGGCCAAAGTTTCGACGAAAACTTTCCGTGGAAAAAATTTATCAGAATGTCTCTATAAATGGCCATTATACAGTTTAATACCGCTGTTCAATATTTTTGCTGGTTCGTTTTAAAATTAAACATGGCAGCAAGCGAGAAACTGCGATTTCATAATTGAAGATTTCTGCGTTTGTGTATTCTATATTTATATTTAAGTGAATGTAGTGAAGAAGATATGGAATGATAAAGAAAATGGATAAATATTATATTTATTTGTTTTTTAGTTGTTATATAATTGGAAGATCAAGAAAGAATTTTACATATTGTAATAAATAAGATTGTGTGAGTATTTATTCAAATTCGAATTATGAAAATTATAATATTCAAAAATTTATTTATATAGCGTAGAAGTAAAGAGAATGGAGTTTGTTATTAAATATTTTTCTTTTCGCTTTCGATCGAAGAAATTTTCACTCAAATCTTTGCAAAATAAAATAAATTCGATTACAATTAATCGAGAAAATAATAATAATAATTACCAAGATAATCCTTATTGGCGTGAAAGTTTCTTCGTCGCAAAAATCGAGCTAATATTTTTTTTATCGACACAAAACATTCTTCTTTGATTAAACACATCGGGCGTCTTGACGGCGTCGAACGGAGAAAGGAAAAAAAAAAAGAAAAAGGAAACACGACCAACTTTAATATCGAAGCCAAGTGACGCACGTTGATGCGAGAGAGCTCTCCTCTCCTTTAAAAAATAATCCGTGTCTTGAATTAGAAACTCGCTCAATCGTTCTCTGACGGGTTACTGAGAAAACGCACACGCTTCCACAAGGATTGAAATTGCTTCTCTACGTGTATAGAATCGATAATATCACTTGTAAATATAAGTAAGTAATTAATTATATTATTGCAAAAATATATAATATAATTAATAGATTTATTAATTTTTCTTTTTTTTTTTTTTTAGATGATGGAAAATATTTTTTTCAACGATGCTTTGAGGTATTGAATATTGATAAAGGTTTTTTTTTTTTACTATCTCAAATTAGTTATTCTTTTTTAAATTAACTCGAATTTTAAAAGAATTGTATATGATTTTTCTTTCAGAAGTTAATCATTTGATAAATTTGATGGAACAAATACAATGTTACAATATAGTTTTACAGTACAAAAGTAATTATTTAATTATATTATTTTAATTTTTAATTTTATTATTTATTTTATTTTATTTTTATTATTTAATTATTTAATTATATTATTATAAAAATATCAATGTAATATAATTAATAGATTTATTAATTTTTCTTTTTTTGTTTTTTAGATGATGAAAAATATTCTTTTCAATGATGCTTTGATTATTGAGGTATTGAATATCATCATAAAGGTCTCTTTTTTTTTTTACTATCTCAAATTAATTATTCTTTTTTAAATTAACTCGAATTATAAAAGAACTGTATATGTTTTTTTTTTCAGAAGTTAATTATTTGATAAATTCGATGGAACAAATACAATGATACAATACAATACAGTTTTACAATACAAAATAAGTAAATACATTGTTTTTCACTTTCACTGTTTGCTTCTTCTTACGATGTGAAATTTATCCTTTGTCTGGTATAAACTATTTTTGTGAACCAAATAACCATGTGTATGTAACGAGGGTACGAAGGAGAATCCCGATAAATTGCAAGAAAAGTTGGTATAATGTTGATGAAATATGGTGGAGGGTGGCGAGTTGGTTTTAAGTTTACGACGCACAGAGTATCTCTCTGTTTTAAAGATAATATCCAACAAGAGTAACAAAGGTCTTGGTCCCTTACTAGAGAAGGGTCGCAAAATCCAAATATTGTGACCTTGCATGCTCAACTATACGAATAACAGATTAAAAAATTAATGAAAATTAGAAAAATAGAATTAATAAATTAATAAAAATATATATGCATCGATTGAAATGTCATGAATGTCAAATGTATCGTGTTTTAACGAAGAATATATTGGATTTTTGGAGAGAGTGAAAATAAATTTTAATTTTCTATAATTTTTTTTTTTTTTTTTTTTTTGTATACACTTCTTTGACCAATTGAGTATAGAATAATTTATCAATGGGCCACTGGATGATACTTTCCTTTGTCCCATGTGACCCATAAGATATTTTAACACAGATGACTGAAAAGTTTTAAGACAAGATCTCCATTTAACAGATTATAAATCTAAATAATATTCATATAAAAATGGTTTTTTAAATTTATATTTATAGATATAATTAACTTTAAAACTCGTCGTCAAAAATATTTTATATCCATATTTTATATCCATATATTCTTTCTCACAAATTCACGAAACATTCGTGCAAAAATTCGCAAAGTATATCAAAGTCGAAGAAAATTCTATCCTCGAATATGCAAAAACTTACTCAACCACTTTTAAATTAATTAAGAGCACAACAAATAATTAAACTTTCGTTCTCTAACCGTGAAATGTTTTATTAACAATTGTTCGCTCTCAATTTTGGGCTTGATTTTCTGAGTGAATTGATATATTCAGAGGCTCCCACCGGGTTCCGTTTCCCTTTTCCTCGCGAAAAGGTAGGAACAGCGAAGGATAAACGTTGTCGCAGTATCTTCTTCGTTTGATCTTTCTCCACTGCGCAAAAGACTTCCTTTTCAGTGAAAATAAAGCAGTGTGGTCGTCGCTTTGAATTTTGTGCTCGATTTCAAACTATGGATAGATGGTTTGAGATTGTGGTTGAAATCTACTATGTGTTTAATTTTTTTCTCTGATCAATAATTAAATTTGTTAATTATTGCTCTTGGCGATAATTAAATGATAATGTAAAATAATAAAATAAAGTTATCGAGCAATATTAATTATTCTTAATCAAAGTATTCGTGCCATGCAAATATCTGACAAAATTATTGACACTTACCACTTGCTTCAACAAATTGTTATCTACACTATTGATCATACTACTGAAAAATTCTCTAACTGTGATTACCTTTTTTCATTTGTCTGCCAGCATTACAACTAACTTATTTATAGTTAAGTATGATTCATAATTAGTCTATCCATCTGACAAAAAATTAAAAACATATCATGACTATTATGCCAGTAAATGAAATGTACGTTTCCAAGATTTGAGAGATAATTGTTTACCTGTCTACCTATTTTTTGGTGGCAAAACACTTATCAATATCTTCTTTTTTTCCCCATTTTTGAGATTACTCCTTTTTCTCTGTATATTCGTATATATTTTCAATGAAAAATTGTTTTCATAATCCTCCAATCGATACTCCTTCGACTGATTTCTCCATATATCGTGTTCGTGGAAAGAAGTTCTTCGATTTCACAAAAAAAAAAAAAAAAAAAAGAAAAACGTCCTCATTCCTCAACAACAATCGTAGCAGCGCAGACACGTGACAATAACTCGAGCGAAAATTCTCAGAGCATCTGGAAAAGTCGTTATTCCCCGATTCCCCGCCATTGTGTCGTATTCGATCTGTCAAAGGGGTTGCATCTTCCTCTTTTATTCGAGGCGTGGAAGAGAAGGGATCCTCTTGCGTATCCTCGACTCGTCCCTTTTTCTTTTTCTTTTTCTTTTTCCACGTCGCACAAAGGGAAGAATCGTACGTGCCTCGTCGAGCATATAGATTCTTTCCAACTTGTCTAGCGATGTCTATCTTTGTGTCGATCTATCCGTTTCACATGGTCTATTAAGCAAACTGTCATTGTTTCGAATTTTCTTTCTTTCTTCTTTTTTTTTTTCGAGGATATTCTTATAACCTAGTATCTTTTGTGTTGAATTTATATATGTGTGTGTAAAGATATGATGTGCAAAGATGACTCGTATCTTGTATATTTGTACGTGACTCGGATGTTGCCTTTTCCTGTTTTTAAACAAACGACATAGCGAGCTCAATATAATGGAACAAAGGTATATCCATATTTGTATAACATAGTTTATTCTTATTTCTTAAATATATTTCAATCAAATTTATTTCCTTTAATTTATTTGTATTTTTTTTTTTCATAGGAATGTTCATGGAATATAAATTTAAACTTGGAAAGACTGGTAGTAGAAACTGTTGATTAAGCGTATTCCAATGAAAGAAAGAAATAATTTCAATGTAAAGATACAAGTGTGTAAAACAATTCTGATTGTTTCGACGACTGTAATAATAATAATACAATTTTTTACAATCTAAATTTTAATCTACAAACAAGAAGAAATCAAACAGTGGACGAAGTGAATCATAACAGATTGATAAGATATATCAATATCATTCTCCACTCGTATGGAAGAGAAAAGTATTATTAACTTCAATAATTAATATTAGAATCTGATTAAGGTAATCAAAACATTATTGAACATTGAACAATTAACATCTGATAGACAAGAAAACAAGTGCTCGATTCCATAAGAAAAAAGAAAAATATATACATTTAGAACGAGATCCACTCTGCATCTTATTCTCCAACAAATGGATAACAACGTTCGTACGAAACGGGCCGGTGCACCACAACCAATGCTACAAGCGATTCGAACAGCTCCCAGGGACAGAAAGGCACCAAGTTTAATCTAGCCTGTGCAATCTCGTCTAAACGTATCGAAATCCGGTCGAATATAAATCACAGGGGTGTGAGGGGGTGAGGCGTATCCGAAAGCGAGCCATCATTTATTCAACGTTTCGCCCCTGATCCCTGGCTAACCTAAAGGGGATGGAAGTGGACTTCCTGGACACCTGGAATTCCCCCAGCTTCCTTCTATTCCCTTGTAATCGTGCCAGGGGATTAGTTAGTGACCAGCTTTGCTTTGTAATCGCCAGTGTTTCTCACCCCCTCCCCCTTTCGACACTCTAAAAGACGTCGTAAAAGAAACGGATAAACGGATATTGTACACTCGTAGGAGTGATGCGAGATTTAGCTTTATGGATAGTGGATCTAATGAGGAGATTGTTTTACGAGCATGCGATTTGGCTTATTGTCGGGACAAATAGTTATAGCTTTCAATTGTTATTCTCGTGGGAGAAATTTTGATTTTTTGAAAGCGTTTGGTTTGAATAATTTGAGGAAAGAGCGGGTTTCAGTTTTAGGGATGTGTTATGTATCGGACAAGTGATTTGCGATTGCGAGTGATCGATCTGTACTACTTGTTCCAACTATATAATTGATTTATTTTACTTGTCCGGTTAGGTTTGAATTATCGATTGTTTCATTTTTCTGATCGTGACGGGCTTATCCCATTTGTAACAACAGCCACTGTCCATTTGCCTGGCATATGATCGATCTGTATCACTTAGTCGAGAATGATTGATTTATTATTGTCTGATCGTTTAAATTATATTTCGATAAATATGGAATGTTAAAATAATGCTTTTCGATAGATAAAAGCATCGTTTAATTCAAACAATTAAAATTATATACACTACAATGCATATAGAACAATATTTTAATTGATACAGCAATCGTTGAGAAAAATTGTGTTCAGTTATCTGGATGTACACGTGGACTTTAGGGATGAAAGAAATGTTTCTAAGTGAACCAGAATGACAAGAAAAATGATTCACCTGAGATGGCTGGAAGTCATGCGTGTATCATTTATGCAGAGAGGCGAGCAAGTTTAAGGGGCAAAGATACGTTTTTAGGAAACTTTTAATTCTTTTTCTAAGCAGTGAAAATTTTATACACTGCTATTATGATATTATAAAATACATCATCAAAAATAAAGAAACACAGTGTTTGAGATAAACTCATATAATTTTTCTCAAATATGATAAAGCAATATATTTGATGTTCATTTTCAATACATTGTCGATAAAATCAATTTCCTTCTTTACCTAATTATGATTAACAATAATAAAACGTTAAACGATTATTAGAAATAAAAATTACGATTAGTGAAAAAATATTCAGGAAATCGATCCACGAGCAAGAATTATCATTTTAAACTTTTCATATATCATCGTCCCAGTGAAATGGAATAATTTCGCGATATTTCATCCGAAATGCGTTTTCGCATTGCAGATTTTAGGCAAGCGACATTTTTTTTTCGAGCTTTGCCCTCAAGCTTTCATCAATCATCGGACATCGAGCATCGGGGGTTGGATCGACGAGGTTGACAATGAGGTGGCGATCCTTCCCTCGAATATGTCAGCCATCCTTATCTTTTAACATCAATCATGCGTTTAGGATTAATAGCTGTGGATGAAGCAGCGATTTTTACGATTACAAAACTGATAGATCCTTCGTTCTTATTATCCCCGCGACAATATTGCAATACATATCCCTACATACATATCAGATAAGAAGATTAAAGAATTTTTTAATTTTTTAATTTATCTTAAAAATTAATCCTTATTTTTTTATCGTTTATGGAATAATAAAT